ATAGCAAAATAGGAGGAAAGTATGTCAAATCATAAATATTGTAATTTGCATGCAGTTGATTTTCGATGGTGATCTTTGAAAACTGGTGAATAATTCTCGCCTAAAGGGAAGTTGAAAGCTGCACTTGTAAAAGTGCATAGCACACCATCAATCCTTATATAAATATTATGTCTAAACCGATGGCTAAAATTATTGTTAAAAGGTATTAAATTGTTTAAGCTGATTTATTAGCCCTACTTTGGTTTGTTTGTGTGCGATCATGTAAAACCTTGCAGCCAGATAACATAAACCCTGTGCCTGACTTCACTGACTTATATTATACAACAATATATTTTATGCATGTACCTTAAAACGCGTTTACCTTGTGCGCATTAACTTCCTTTGCTGAGGAATGTAGGGGTAATTTGGCTATAAAAAGCACAGCCAACATTGTTTTCATCAAAAATTACAAGTTTTCTTACCAATGGTCGCCTTGGATGTCTGTCCCTAATCCAAGCTGAAAATTAAGCACTGTTTCTATTAATTCACCTTCGGCTTTAGATAGATTAAACCTCAGTTCGGAAGCTGTCTTGAAGATCTTGTTATACTTGCGTGTTCTCACGTTTCCTGGAATCGACAACGTCTGACCGAATTCTATGCAGCCGGTAGCTAGTTTTCCAGCAATATCTAAAAATAGCCATATGTTACCAGTATGAAAACGAATGGTCATTAATCTTATCCGAAAGGGAGGTAAAAAGTCTGACACTAAATCTACCGTCCAATAACGCTACATACATTGCTATCCAGATTTTCGGAATTATTCTTGATAAATGCTCAGATGCAGTACCTAGAGACTTACAAATAAAGAGTTTCAGAGGAAAATGCATTTCACAAATCTTTTATGTATTAATAACCTATTAATTGCACACAATAGCAAGTCTGATGCAGTTGATGATGGAGCAATAGTCGTTGCGCTCTACCCGAGAAACTCAGAATGGCTGGAACAAACAGACCGTTGAATTCGTCTGCAGAAACGTCACACCTACTGCATTTGGGATCCAACACTGATATTGTGTGACAATAGCCATGTATGCCGCCGCATCCGGAAACTTAGCAAATTAACTCAAGTAAAACTGCTTAAAATCGAATCAACAATAAAGCCATCTAAATTGTCGACGCAATTACGTTTCACTTCGGGTCCTCAAAACCTAGAACGCATTACCACACTCAATGGTATCCTAACCTAACATGTAGGATCGCAGTAAATGGTTAGATGTTTCCCTAAGATGCCAGCGCTTTGCAAACTCTATTATATAACCTCCATTGGGGATTACGTCAACCATCCTTTTCTACATATATTTTGCATCAAATTAACCTAAGATATATTATTTTACTTTGTTCTCATCATACATCAACAACCACAGCACCGCAGTGTATTTATGAACGTTTACAATCCGCTCTAAAGCCACTGTTATTTAGCATAGCATTTTTCCCGCGGACGTATGGTATATGTCCCACATAAATAATTGTTATTGTCGTATTCACCCCAACCACGCTACGGGAAATGTCGATCACTTGCTTGCACCCCTTGACCAATCATCGTTTATGGTTCATGGAACAGTTAATTGGATTGCCAATTTCAGTCAAGCAACCATTTCAAAAAAATATTTGTTTTCCGTGCATCAATCATTAGGCTACATTGGATTCCGCAAGAAGCACGTCAACGTAGTTTCACTCGAAGATATTTGCCCCAAATGTACTGAACGTACATAACAGTAGTAAATCAAAATTCTTGGTATTTAGAAGCGCCACGATCTTTTTACGCATAAGTTCTCAAGTGTTCGATTTAATTGTTAAACACGACGCATTCTAAATCGTTTGGACACATACTGTCGCGCATTGCGATAATACCGCATTTTGATGTTTCCACGGCGCCTCGTCCCTGCTACTGTTAAACGTACATTGTCCATAGTCCAGCGGTTACGCAGCGCTGCGTATTCATGCATTCTCCCATACACAAATATTCGTCCATGGGCCAGATTAATGTAAGTGTTTTTTGTACATCCACCCTTCGGCTGCATCGTGTCGTGCCTGAATTATCATGTCTCAATTTTCGGTATATTTACTTGTACTTACCGGTTCTTCAAGCTAGGTACGATATCCCAACTCGCGTCAGTCATGTAATCTCCGAGCTGTTCTCACTCGTGCCACACCTCAACAGACTATGCTTCATCATGCGTACAACGCACCACGGTTTCTGTAGATTGTACGCTAGACGGTTTGCTAAAGTTTACGTGGATTCTTCGGTAAGGCAAAAATAATTGCGGCCGAAATGTACGTCCTCTTGCCTAGCAACATTATTCAGGTAATAAATTAATAAATGATGCTGGACCCAGCTGTTTATTATATAAGCAGTAAACTTTCTACCCCAACGTGATTTGTTAACAATTTTCTAACGAATGTTCCATCGCTGGCGAGCAAGCTGCATCAACCATTATATATGTGTAATGTTCCTATTGTGTTTGTAACTTATACATATTTAGGTGGCAATTCACAGAACTACGTGTTGCTTTCTTCATGAATTTTGCCAGTTGTCATCTCAATGGTTGCGTGGTTTGGTGGCTGCGGTTCCTACGTTAACTCTGCACTATAATCAAGTAAACTCGAGGCTCCATCTTGATGCAGTTCCAAAGCTTCCTTTTGGTATTGTTTAAGAGTAAATCATGTTGTATTTTTGATGGTTGCATTTACATTTTGCCCGGCGCTACCAAGGGCAAAATAAACAAATTGATTTGGTTGCTAGAGTAGGTAAATAAGACGCCGTGGTTTCAAACATTATTGACTGTGCCCTCAAAAAGTCCGACGTATTGTAACAAGTATATAGAGCACTTGCCAATGTCGGAATATTTGTTATCTGAATTAGCTTATTGTTCGACACATTAAATAGGCTCCCCTACTAAAAGAAGGAACACACTTTACGTTTATTCCAACCTCGGCATATGCAGCGCGTAAACCCGGAGACTTGAAAATTGCATTACTAGCAATCACATGTTATCCAGCTACCCATCATCAATGCCAAATTAACGGCATCGAGTCCTCAATATGCCTACGGATTTTGATCATGTCCAGACATAATATCTTACTGCTTCCGAATGACTATTATATCCCCTGACTGAGAAGCTGTATCTCTTACAGATAGTCAGACATTCACTGTTTATGATTTGTACATCGTGTGACCTATTTAAACGAACATCAAACGCCATTGCAATATAGTAAGCAGCAATTGCCTAATATTAGAGATCTTTCTTGGACAGCTTGGAATGCATTTAAAACGTCATCATACAAAATGATAACATTCGCAGTCTTTCAAGTCAGAGCTTAATGTAAGCATTCGCCAAATTAGTTTGTAGATACGATGATGTTCCGATATTTGTAGTGCCTAGATTCCGAAAGATCGCCGACCTACTTCTGTAATGTTGTCTTGTGAGCACCCGGACTAGACGTATCGTCGTGGCGAACGCTTGGTGTGCGTTTGTATTCGCCAGCCTTTTACTAATTGGCGGGACCAACAGAATTCCGCGTGAGTCAGTGAACTGAGCATTTGCTAGTATCGCTGCCTTTCGAATATACAAATAAACTAATCGTTTTTCAATAGGTCCGATTTATTCTCAACAAGGTTGTGGACGAGCTGTAAGTATCCTTTCCATACCCTATATTATTCGGAGGACGTAACTGAACATCGCCACGCTTTCCGTGAATCCTAGCCTGGAGAGAATATATGTCCACGGGTTATAATATCACTGCTAGACTGAGGTAGAGCACCAAAGTCATGCGTTTTGTCTACAGTGCGAGAGAACATCCGGGTGGCCAAAGTTTTCCTACCGCCCGCCTCAAGCCAGGCGGCCCTATTAAAATGGTTGCATGCCGGCTATTATCCTCCTACGTTTTTCCATATTCGCAGGTGTTCATCCCACTACGTTTGCAATACATATGGATAATTATAACTATGCAAAGC